AAGATGTCTGTACAGTCGTACTGTTACAGACAAAATCTCTTCAAAGCGATTCAAATTCAACTCAAATCAAGCGCGGCGCCGCGCGAACTGTTCACCCGAAATCATGTCGCGCGCGTCCAAAGTGAACCTCCGCAAACACGGCGATGACGTCACATTCGCCGCGCGCACTGAGCTATTGCATGCTGGTATTATTTGTAGTTTTAATACTGCAAATCACAATAGGACTAGTGAAATAAAGAACTACACCACCACGAAACCAAGCAACAACAACAAAATAATTTAAATGAGCATTAGGAGTAGCGATACATGTACATTGGAAAAATAAGACCTGTGCAAACATATTTCAGACCTAGAACAGCGAATTTAAGACTTTTTAAGGCCTAAAATTTAGATGTTTATATTTTAGACATTTTAAGACCCCACGGAAACCCTGTGTAACCCGGATGGCACAGCAGAGGGCAGGTTTCATCCACTTGTTTTTTGCGCTTTTTGGATATGCACATAAAAACGGTTGATGGAAACGCTATAATGCTCATATATTTTGAAAATGTGTGTGAGTGGACAAACCAGCAGGCTAAGCACATTGTAAAACATCTAAATTGTTGTTTTGGTCATTCTAAACCGCCTTAACCGTTTCAGTATTATATTATATTAATAATGACCTCCAGAATTGTCAAGAGTTTCTGCACTCCGTGTCTCGCGCCTTCAAACGCCAGCGCGCGATCACTGCGTGCAGAATTGCCTTCTAATGCGCAAGTCACTTATTAAATGAAGATAATTTATTAACGGAGCTGCTCCTACTGATGCAAATTCTGTTTTTACTTTTGATATTTGTCGCCAGTTAATCAGAAGATGGCAATTTTGTTCTCTTTGACTTGATGGACAGAAAAGCTGCTTTATTTGCTGTCTTTTATGCGATATTCCAGTTTTGAGCATATATTTAATTAGCATTTTAGATGATAACATAGCTATTCACACCAGCGCATCTATCCCCTTTCTTCCCTATATACCTGTAGGTGAACAGCTCCTCAGGGTGTGGCCATGCATTCATCCTCTGCTATTTCTTCCTCATTTCTTCTGTCTTTAATCTCCATATGTCAATTGATAACTTTGTGACTGTATGATGACGGTCACGTAAATCTGCAGTAGCCTGAACTTGTTTTTCGGTTCAAATAATGTAGCAGGCTTTTCATTGGTCCGTTAAGATCAGCTTTTTTTATTGGCTACCGAAATGCTGGTCAGTGCGTGGCTGAAATATTAATTTATTTACAGTACTCTGTAACGAATTGTGATTTTAAAAGTAACGAAGTAGATTGCTCAGCTTAATTTTTACTCAAGTACAAGTAAAATTACAGGCTTAAAATTCTACTCATGAAAGTACAATTACCCCAAAAATGTACTTAATTACAGTAACGTGAGTAGTTGTAATTCGTTACTCCCACCACTGGTTACCAGAGCTACGTCCTTTAATGAAACCTGTTTGATCTTCTTTTATAAGTTGAGGTAGTAATACTTCAAGCCTTGTAGCAAGGATTTTAGCAAGAATTTTTAAGTCACAATTTAATAAAGATATTGGCCTATAAGAGGCACAGTCCTCTGGTTGTTTCCCTTTTTTAAGTAACAGGGAGATATTAGCTTCCCTTAAAGAAGGGGGAAGAATACCATTCTCCAAGGAATGATTAAACATTTCTAAAAGAGGATCCACTAAAATGTTTTGAAACTCTGTGTAAAATTCCTTACTCAATCCATCTGGACCAGGAGCTTTCCCAGTTTGTAGGTTCCTGATTGCTGTTAATACCTCCTCCCTTGTAATAGGACCATCAAGAGTGATTTTCTGATGTTCAGCTATAGAGGGTAATTTAATTTTAGAAAAAAATACATCCATAAGTTCTAATGAATTACATGGGGATTCTGATTTATAAAGGGTTTTTAAAAAGTTAGCAAATGTATTATTGATGAGTGTAACATCAGAGGATGGATGCCCCCGATCATCCTTGATAGAAGACACCAACTGAGAATCTGTTTTTTTCTTAGTAAGATAAGCCAGGTATTTCCCTGGCTTATCACCATGTTCATAGAACCTTTGCTTAGCAAATCTAACTTTCCTCTCAGCAGACCTTATATGCAATGACTCTAACGCAGAGCGTAAGGCAGTAATTTCTTTTAATTTATTTGGTCTAGGATTCTGGACATAATCCCCCTCTGCCCGCCTAAGTTTTGCATCTACAATGTCCTTTTGTTCTGTTTGTCTCCGCCTCTTACTAGCTGTAAAAGAAATTATAAGACCCCTTTAAAATGCCTTAATCGTTTCCCATAGCAAAGATTTATCTTCTGTAGAAGAAGAATTTATAGTAAAAAATGACTGGAATTCGGACATAAAATAAGAACAAAAATCACTATCTTTGAGAATTAAAGGGTTAAATCTCCAATACCTAGTTTGATTTATAGAGCTCCGTAACCTTAATTGTAGGAAAAGAGCAGCATGATCTGATATTATAATATTACAGATGCTGCTGTTATCTATAAATTGTAGTATCCCTTTAGGCACAAGAAAATAATCTATTCTTGTGTGGCTACTATGTTGTTTCGAGTAGAAAGTAAATTCTTTATCAGCAGGATGCTGTGCCCCCCACACATCCACATAGTCTAAATCTTCACATAAGGAATTAATGAATTTTTCCTGAAATGAGGGAGCTAAGCCTGAAGGAAATTTTTCCATAAGTGGGTTAAAAAATCTTGTTAAAAAATCACATTGATGGCCAGGGGGAAAATATACATTCATAATAGCAATTTCTTCCCCCTGCAACATACCCTTCACAATCAAATAACATCCATTTTTATCTTTAATACAATTTACCAATCTAAATGGTAAAGACTTTTTGAATAGGATGGCCACTCCTCGGCTCCTTGATGTAAATGAAGAAAAAAAAACTTGACTAAAACCTAACTGTTGCAACTTAAGATGTTCTTTATCATCAAGGTGAGTTTCTTGAAGGAGGGCTATATCAACGTTCTCCTTCCTAAGAAATGTGAGCACTGATTTCCTCTTCACAGGTGTATGTATCCCATTAACGTTCCATGAGCAAATCCTAAGCATACTAATAATGGCCATTTTAAAAGTATAACGTACAATAAGTTTATACAATAGAGAAAAAAAGCCAAGCAATCCATCAATTGTGCAGAATCGGTGTCCGCGATTACATTAATTAATATATTAACCTAACTTATATAGATAATATATTCAAAATACCAAAGTCAGGGAATATTTTGTTAGATATGGACAACAAAATTAATTATATATCACGTTTAACAAATATAGAATGATTAGATCCAGCAGGAGTTCCTTGATGAACAGCCCTACGTGCACAGCTCTCATATGAGTATGAGCTCAAGGCACGCTGCAGCGCATGCCAGAGTGTGTGTCTGTGTGTGGTCACGTGATATGCGTTTTCACCATTTTAATGTAGACAGAGAGCTGTTCATAAATGCTGGGTGAAACGCTAGTGTGGACGCGGATCGTTTTCATTCTAAAAAGCCGTTTTAAAACTAAAGCGCACTAGTGTAAACGGGGCCTTAGATTAAGAGTTTGGAGCAACACAGTCCATTACATGAAGTTTACTGACATCATTTGTGGTGGGCAAAGGGGTATAGGCCAGTAATCTACTATCCTTCTAATTATATATATATATATATATATATATATATATATATATATATATATATATATATATATATATATATATATATTTTTTTTTTTTTAGTTATCGAATCTAATTGGCTAATATGCAATATCCTAATCAGCACTGATCAGCCTCTTCATCGGGGTTTAATCACTCTGCCAGCTGGAGCGAATGTCAAATTTGTTAATAAACTCGACTGGACTGTTGAGCCGGACCACTAGCCTATTTTTGAGATTTTTTTGGCGAGAATGTTCGTCTACTTAAGGGTTGCGGCTATTTGTTTTGATGACCTAGGACTCTGAGATTATATTGTCAAGAGCACTCCTCTGGTGGACACATTCTGGAGTCTGATGTATGACTTTATAGTAGTAAAATGTGGGCAAAGAATTGTTTTGAGTATATATAACGACTATTAATGCAATGCATGAAGTCGTGGTCGTGTACCCCATATCTAGAGCAAGACCAGCATTTGTGGTTCAAAAGCACTAATTGCATTCCTTATAGACAATAACCCGTCTTTTTTCCCCTTTATTTCACCTCACATTTAATTCTGTTCTTATTCCAGTGATTAGTTACAGGAGGCCAGTGCCGCCCCACTGCTTTTTGACACACCTCCAAGTGTTTCAACTAGGTCCGGTACTCGACCTAAAAGAGGTCTGCTTGTGTGGTTTCTCCCTCTTTCTAATATTACGCCGTGTCCAAGGCCAGCTCCGCACGTATTTGTTTTAAAAGACGGCAATTAATTATGAAAGTTGTCACTCATAAGTAGAGCCATCTGAAGCTAACGTTAGTACCTGTGGTCTCATTGGGAGAAAGGTACTTGTACAATTGTTAAATACAGTTTTTATGGACTTACTGGTCTCTTCATTACCTGGCTAGCACGTTTTAGCGCCCTTTCCCTTCAACAGACTGATGTGTCACTTTTGACAGAGAAAGTTAAGAGGTCCGTTAAACTCACATTATAGCCTGAGAAATTAAAAACCAACGATGGTGCAGCTTCAGGTCTCAGTCTGTTGGTGCAACGACTGACTAATTTTTCTGACTCAAAGATCTTCTCAGTGTAATCTTCCTCCAAAAAATGATCACTGCATACTTGTGCCTCTGGGCCCATAGGAGGGTTTTTCCTTTTTATCGCCGCTAGCCAGTGAAGCAGTGTTGTTCTGCGTTTATGTGGCAGTTTATGAAAATAACTAATTTGCCCTTAGCTTTTACACTGTAGAAATTATTTTTACATCCAGAAGCAATACAGTGGTGCCCATTGATGGCCCATTGCCAGACATTGATGGAAATGGTGAGATTGACGAGTAAACATCCATAATGTAAGTAGTGTATGGAAATATATTTTTATATTGAATTGCAGATTTAAAATACATACAGTATACAATAGGGGTTCATAATTTAACAAGTTGTAAACCTTTTATTCATTAAACACCCCAAATAAAACCAAAGACTGAATAAGAGTACTAATGTACTTAGGTGCATGTACATTTGCAGGTTGCATTAGGTTGTCACCACCCTTGCAAAATTCTTTATATGTATACAATACTTGAAGAAAAGTACATCGTAAACTCAATATACTTACGTGGTTCTTTGCGTGTTGAATATCTTATTGTTACCCCCTTCTTATCCAAACATTATGGTTTGTTTCTTTGCAATTTAAAGAGAAGTACACCGTAAATTCAATATACTTACGGGGTACTTTTCGTGTTGAATATCTGGTAGTTACTCCCTTATTGCCCAAGCATTACAGTTTGTTTCCTTTATATCCACACATGTTATTTATACTTAAACTGTACATACAGAAAATTACACCGTTATTTCACTGTACTTGCGTGGTAATTTTCGTGTTTAATATCTGGTTGTTACCCTCTTAACACTCAAGCTTTACAGTTTGTTCCCTAATACCTACATATACGTTTATTAAACTTATACAATATGTACAGAAATGTACACTGTTATTTCACTGTACTTACGCGGTACTTTGCGGGTTGTAAAAGAAAGTGTTACCTAAAAGTCTTCTCACTCAAGCACATATACTCGTTAACACCAGTGTGGATCTTCATGTGTTCATTAAGGTTTGCTGATCGGCTGAAACTCATCCCACACCAAAGCTGCGGTCACACTAGAGTTGTATGTTGTATGGTGCTGCGAAAAGGGGTGGAATTAAAAAAGATGATTAGATATTAAAAAGGTGAGCGATTAGTCCATATTTTAAATTTCTGTCCAGAGAGGTCATGTTTTGATCTTCCATTGGTCTCGCACAGTCAAGTGATGCAATTTTGCAGGTCAGAATTCACCAAGCTTGAACTTTGCAATGCAGTCAACTGCGAAACGTGATGCACAAACTTGCGTTTCCGGTCTGACACATTTGTGTGCCTATGAATGGAAGTCTATGGGGAGAAACGTCCAATATGACCGCGGCTTAAGTGCAAATGAACAATTTCTTTCCAGTGTGAATCATCATGTGTAGTTTAAGGGATGATGAGTGGATGAAACTCTTCCCACACTGAGTGCAAGTGAATGATTTCTCTCTAGTGTGGACCCTCATGTGTAGATTAAGGTGTGATAATTGGCTAAAACTCTTCCCACACTGAGTGCATGTAAATGGTTTCTCTCCAGTGTGGATCCTCATGTGTTTATAAAAGTTTGAAGAGCAGCGGAAACTCTTCCCACACTGAGTGCATGTGAATGGTTTCTCTCCAGTGTGGATCCTCATGTGGTTATAAAGGGATGATGATTGGCTGAAACTCTTCCCACACTGAGTGCATGTGAATGGTTTCTCTCCGGTGTGGATCCGCATGTGTAGATTAAGGTATGATGATTGGCTGAAACTCTTCCCACACTGAGTGCATGTAAATGGTTTCACTCCAGTGTGGATCCTCATGTGTTGATAAAGGTTCGAAGTGCAACTGAAACTCTTACCACACTGAGAGCACGTGAATGGTTTCTCTCCAGTGTGGATCCTCATGTGGTTATAAAGGGAAGATGACAGGCTGAAACTCTTCCCACACTCAGTGCATGTGAATGGTCTCTCTCCAGTGTGGATCATCATGTGAATATTAAGTTTGCTTTTGCTTGCAAAACTCTTTCCACACTGAGAGCACATGAAATGATTCTTGTCTCTCCTTTTCAAAATATCATCAGTCTGTAAATGAGTTTTTTCCTCAATTTTAACATGATGTTCCTCCTCTTTACACCCCTCATTCTCTTCAATTAGGTCTGAAATAAATAAAAAATTTGTTTTCATTAATTCTTAAAAACTCTTATCAAAAGCTGAAAAGTGAAAAGACACTGGAAACATTGGCTACACACACTGTAATTTTAATGCACATTAAATGTAAAATAAATCAGATCATATTTTGTTCGGTCCTTTAACGTGTACACATTTAAGCAGATTCAAATCAATTTATCTTTATCTAGTATTTTTTACAATGTAAATTATATCAAAGCAGAAGTTATGGTAAATTGAAACTGTGTCAGTCCAGTTTTCAGAGTTTCTTACATAATTGATCAAAAGTCATTTGGTCATATTGATATGGGTGCTTTCACACCTGTGAATCGATTCAGTTGTTCCGAAACAGAGATTACAATTGTTACATTGTTGCTTTTTGCTCTTGGAGAGGTTAGCTTTTAAACTGCAAAGTTTCTAATCGGACCAAAAGAGCTAAAACAAGTCACGTGTGAGTAAACTCTCCTTACATTGGTCAGAGTGTCAGGGTTTATTTTGCAGCGTCCCGCTCAGCTGTCAGGAGAGGTGGTGGTTTGGTGGTGATTGACAGGGTGCGCGCGCGTGACGTGTCTGAGGGTAGACGCGGTGGGGAGGGGTGAGGGTGTGCGACGTAGCCTATTTGAGGACCGGGAGGGAGACGCAAGATTACCAGGAGATCATCACTCGTTTGCGGGCATCCGGAGACTCGCTAAACTTCCCGCCCTACTCATAATTCTCTCTTCATATAGCCGTAAGCCTTATACATATCCATAAAACACTGTGATATAACCGCACTCAGATCAGATCGCTTTCTCACTGCAGTCGAACCGCTCCAGGGTTCGTTTCAATCAAGCCGAGACCGCCTCATTCAAGCGATCTCGGAGCGATTACTTTGGCGCGGAACAGAGCGTGATTGCCCTGTTCACATATGCCAATCGAACCGCGCTAACTGGGCAAACGAGATATATTCCGAAACAAAATTGTAGGTGTGAAAGCACCCTAAGACACAGATTTGAAAGCTGTAAATGGCCTCTTTTTATTCATTTTTATTCATAATTACAACAAAATGTTTTTCAAAAATGTGTAAAGCAGACAGGGAACACTAGTTCATTCTGTGGCTGACTGGCAAACACACCAGAAAAAAAGTTCTGGGGTAACAACTGAACAAAAAGCAGAATATTAGCCTCGCAGACATGATATATACCTGTACAGCATCTGCATAAAGGCTGGAATTTGCACCTTTCCCCTCGTGTGCTGTTGGGTCATTTTCATCTATTCTGGGGGGATTTTGAGAGATAAAACTTTCTCTGTGTTTCAGCAAACGGACTGATATTTGGGGACATCTTATTCTGACATATTCTGGAACAATGCTTTGAAAAAAAAAAACTCAATACAATCTGGCTAAATTTACTCCCTTTTCATTATATTCATGACTTTTCTTTCTCCATTGGTCTCTATTATAACAAAAAAAATGTATTGCAAAGCCATGACAGCATATAATCATGCATTTATGATTTTTGTTGTTTTCTGTGATGACAGTCAACATAGTTTAATTGTTCTCCATCCATGGGACGGCAAAAAGGAAATGGGTGAGAGTATAAAGGAAGAGGAGGAGAGTTGAAGAGGTTGACTGAACTGTTGCAGTGCAGGGAAACGAGAAGAGAAACCAGGTCGAGACGAGCAGTGTAAACTTAACAAATGGCTGTGAGAAACAAAAAGCAAAAGTATGTATTGAAGCAACAGGGCAAAGACTGCTGTCTTATTACTGAAGTGCTCGTGACGTCGGCAAAGACTTCAGTGCAGTGTATCCTGAACAAAATCAACTTACCAATTTACCTCGCTGGCATGGAGTCAGCTGCCGACTCACCAGCCCGGTTCAATATTCGGTTCAATCCCGGTTCAGCCCGGTTCAACCTTCCCATCCACACCTCCACATTCGCCATTTCCCTTGATCCCTCCGCTCCGTGGATAAGAAGCAAAAGCTTTTGTTTTCTTTGACCAAATTCTCATTTTGTTTCTCTTGTTAAGTTTTCTCCCCAGACTATTATTATCAGTATTATTTTTCGTTTTCAATTCTGACGAATCTGCTGGCCTGAAATAATTTGCATTTTTTTTCTTTTGACGCGAATGGTGCGGTGTGAATGGCACAATACACATGAATGACGCGGTGCGAATTGAGCGTTTTGCGCGTTTCACGTGAAATGCTTGAGTTCAAAAATATGAACTTTAGCGGACATTCACACTGCATTAACCAATCAGGAGCTTGCTCTTGTGGGGGCGTGATTGTGACGTAGCACCTATTGTTGGTGTCCCGGGGGAAATTGGCTGGGTCAATTGGCATTTCTCTGTGGAGTTTGCATGTTCTCCCTGCATTCGCGTGGGTTTCCCCCACAGTCCAAAGACATGTGGTACAGGTCAATTGGGTGGGCTAAATTGTTTGTAGTGTAGGAGTGTGTATGGATGTTTCCCCAGAGATGGGTTGCGGCTGGAAGGGCATTCACTGCGTAAAACATGTGCTGGATAAGTTTGCAGTCCATTCCACTGTGGCGACCCCTGATAAATTAAGAGACTAAGCCGAAAAGAAAAGGAATGAATGTTTTTACTTATGTTATATAGCGCCAGTGCTCAAGGATGCAACAAACAGTAGGAGAACGAGAAAAGCAATAACTTTAAGAGTGCGGTTCACTTGGGCTTTGGCGCGGTACGCTTGTAGTGTGAGTGCAAAACGCACCAAAGCCTGAAACTGAAAGCTTGACGTGACTTTTATGTGACTGTTTCATATAGATTTATTAATCAATCTTACTGTTGAATGAACGCAAACTGTCGTAGTTTATTAAATTAACAAACCCCTCACTGCAAGACAGCTGCGCACCTTCAGCAAACCTCCTCATTCTTGCAGCACGAGTACTTTATGATTTTTTATGAGCGCCAAAAGTGGTGGATCTGTTCGGCGAAATATCTGACTGCATGTCACCGCATCCCTAAAGATCCCACGACTGGCACGATATAACTAAAGAAATCTCCACTGTGCTGAGCAAGAATGCTCACTGAACAGCGCAGCATCGATGACGTAAGTGTGCCCAGGCCCGATTGTCGGGGGAAATGGGAGGGGGGACAAGCGTGCTTTGGCCCGGTTCGAGGCAACTGTACATAGTGTGAGTACGGCTTAATAATACATAAAAAAGAATGACAAAAGACATGAGAACAAGTAACAAGAAAGTGTAATGGAAATTCATTTTTAGATGAGCTTTATATGTTAGAAACTTGTCTAAGACTCATTATTACATGTGTGTGTATCTGTGTTCTCCATATGTTCATCATAAAACCTATGTGTAAATTTTTTATAGATAACTATATTTCTTTAGGTGAAAGCTTTTTCCTTATCCTAAGAAGGATGTGTGGTTGTTATGAGCATATCGAACAGCAGAAGACGCCTGACGTAATTGTAGATGAGGCCTTATTGGGAGTTGACCTCGTAAGCAGTACAAACCAGATAAAAAGGTGAACACACTTTGCTTTAGTATCTCACTTTGCAGAAACTGTTGTTGCTGTATGACTGTGATCTTCTTTATAAAGAATAAAACTTGTAAAAGACATCCCGGGTAAGACTTTGTTTCTTGACCACTGAGAGAGCCTCCTTAGAGAAAATAGCCACTACAAAAGAAACTCATTCCTGTCTTTCAATAAGTGCTTATGTGCATTTAGGAGAGCTAGACAGCACACTCGGGGCTGCAACATGGATTAATTTAGTATTCTTATTATTAAAATATATCTGAATGAGGATTAAATGACTGAGTTGGTCTTTGAGAATGAAAACCAACCTGTTTGTTCCTGCAGATCTTCCTGTTTGACTGTGAATGTTTCTTCAATCTTCACATCTTCACACTCCTCTTTAATAAACGCCATCTTTATAACAGTGTGGAGATCAGTCGCTTCAGCAGGAGTTTTTCTCTGCGTTTGGACACTTTATCCTGTTTAAAATGAACAAAACAATAAAAATGTCTTGTTTAAAATAAATAAAACAATGAACAGAAACAAAATAACTTCTCTTCAACACTTGCTTCAACAGTTTCTTTATATGAGAGTGATTAACAAAAAGAAATCAGTTAAGTCTGAGCAAGAAACAATAGCCATCAATGAACTGATTAAAACTAGTACTCCATTTCTTATATAAAGTGGTGTATACTTAGAATGAAATAATATTATGCTATTTAATAAATTAAATATTCATTAAAAGACGTATTACACACATCTCTGTAAACTTATTAAAACAATAGCCCTCATTACTGTGAGTAAAATAGTACTTTGTTGTATAAAGGGTCAAATAATAATGTCAACAGCAGGTGTATGAATAAGCATAGGATGAAAACCTAAAACTTTAATCAATCGGTTTATATTTATGTAAAAGTTTTTAAACAAACCTTTGTCCAGTTGAATCCAGCGCAAGAGTGGCGCAGCCTTATGACGTCATACGTCACGCCAAAATAAAAGTCTTTTCTTTTGTTTAGCTTTTTTGCCACTCACTGTTGCAGTCCTGACTTACTGCTATTTTTCTCCCTCGGTTTCTACTTCACACTTGCTTTCTCTCTCTCACACACAGACACAGATATTCAGTATTTGAAGTTAATAAAAACCTTTAATCTAACACTTTTAGGACAACTTTGAAAAACGTTTTTAGGGTCATTAACACCATAAAGTGCCTTTGAGACATTAACATTTTCAAGATTTTTAAAAAATGAATGTTGGTCAAGCTCCTGCACTTTTTACAAACAATCTACAAGCAGAAAAACAGGAAACAAACCTCAAACCCTTGTCAAAAAA